TTGTTTTTTACAGGGAGGGATAGAGAGTTAGAAACATCAATTAGCTGCTTCCTGCAAACTCCCTACTGGGGATGTGCCCGCAACCAAGCTATTGTACATGCCCTTGACCGGAATCCAACCCGGGACCTTTCAGTCTACAGGCTGATGATGCTCTATCCACTGAGCCACAATGGTTTTGGCCCTTGCCTTTAAATATATTTTTTATTTATTTTGTACAGAGAGGAAGAGAGAGAGTTAGAAACATCGATGAGAGAGAATCATCGATCAGCTGCCTCTTGCACACCCCCTACTGGGGATGTGCCCTCAACCACCGTACATGCCCTTGACCAGAATCGAACCCGGGACCCTTCAGTCCCCAAGCCGACGCTCTAAGGCCCTTGCCTTTATTTTAGTTTGCATTTCCCTACCCGCTGGCGAGGCTGAGCATCGTTCTGTAAGCTGGCGTGCTGTCCCTCGACTGTGCAGAACTATTTCCTTCCGCCCCTGACCCACACCCCTTCACCGGGATCCCTCCGCCCCCGTGCTCCCCACGCCCCTCCCTCACGCACCTTCTCCTGGATCTGGCCCGCCAGGCTGCGCAGGGCCTCCTGGAACGCTCTGTTCCTGGGCTCCAGGCTCACGCAGCGCTGCAGGTCCAGGGCGGCCTGGTCCAGGCGGCCCAGCTTCTCCAGGGCCTGGCTCCGCCGGAACAGCGCCTTGACGTCCCCGCCGTCCTCGGCGATGGCTGAGCACAAACGGGAGCCCGGTCAGCGCCAGGGAGGCCCCCGTCTCCAGGCGGGAGCAGGAGGGACAGGTCTCGAGGGCCAGAGGAAGGTGGCGGGGGGACGCGTGGGGGGGCTCAGCACTCCAGCCTCAGAGAAGGTGAGGGTAGCTGCAGAAAAGGAAAGGCCCGAGGAAGTGGGACAGAAGGCAGGTGCGCTTCAGGGGGGGCAGAGAGGAGAAGGTGATGGTGCAGTGGTCCCAGGGCCTGGCCCGCCACCGAAGCCCCACGGCCCCCTCCACACACACAGGGCACGTGTCTCTACCTTTGGAGGCCTCGGTTTCTGCTTTGCTGTAATCCTCCTGCAAAAGGAAAAAAAAACAAGAGCATCAGCCGAAACCGGTGTGGCTCAGTGGATAGAGCGTCCGTCTGCGGATTCAAGGGTCGCAGGTTCGATTTCAGTCAAGAGCATGGACCTTGGTTGAAGGCACATCCCCAGTAGGGCGTGTGCAAGAGGCAGCTGATCGATGATTCTCTCTCATCGATGTTTCTAACTCTCTATCTCTCTCCCTTCTTCTCTGTAAAAAATCAATAAGCCAAAACCGGTGTGGCTCAGTGAATAGAGCATCGGCCTGCGGACTCAAGGGTCCCGGGTTCGATTCCGGTTGGGGGCATGTATCTTGGTTGCGGCGCATCCCCAGTAGGGGGTGTGCAGGAGGCAGCAGATCGATGTTTCTCTCTCATCGATGTTTCTAGCTCTCTATCCCTTACCCTTCCTCTCTGTAAAAAATCAATAAAATATATATATTTTTTAAAAGACATCCCACACGCTGAGACCGGTTTGGCTCAATGGATAGAGCGTCGGCTTGGGGACTGAAGGGTCCCGGGTTCGATTCCGGTCAAGGGCATGTACCTTGGTTGCGGGCACATCCCCAGTAGGGGGTGTGCAAGAGGCAGCTGATCGATGACTCTCTCTCATCGATGTTTCTAGCTCTCTATCCCTTACCCTTCCTCTCTGTACAAAATCAATAAAATATATTTAAAAAGGACATCCCACAGGTGAATGTCCAGTCAGGACTCCCTCGCAGCGGCGAGATATGCAAGGCGGACAGGCAGGCCCCGGGGGGAAGAGCAGAGAGAGTGGGGGGGAAAGGGGGCTCCCTCACCAGCTTAAGGTGGCAGGCGGCCCGGTTCCGGTGCAGAATGGCCTGGTCCTGGGCCGTCGCAGTCCCCAGGTCCAGGGCCTGGGTGTAGGCCGCCAGGGCGCCCTCGTAGTCCCCGCATTTGAACAGCTCGTTGCCCTCCTTCCGCAGCTGCTCCACGGAGCTGGCCTGCGGAGGGGGGCGGTGCAAAGGTCGGCGTGGGGCGTGGGCTTGGGGTTTGGGGGGGGTCGGGGACCATCCCCCCGCTCCCCATGGAGGGCCAAGACAGGGGAGAAGGGGGGCGGCCGGGAGTGGTCCGAGCAGGTGCGAAGGGGTGCAGGCGCGGGGGATGGGCACACTCACCCTCACCACCACCCCCCAGGACGGTGGCCGGGTTTGGGGGGGTCCCCGGGACGGTGGCCGGGGTTGGGGAGTCCCAGGACCACTCACCGTCATCGCTGAGGGCTCCCCGGGGGCGCGCGCCGTCTCGCGGACTCTGAGGCGGGCGGAGTCCAGGCTCCGAATCCGCTGAGGGGACCACGCCCTCGTGACGTCAGAGGCGACGTCGTGCGCGCGCGCGCCGGGAGGAAAGGGGCGGGGCGCCCGGCCGGCTCCGCATGCGCAGAGGAGCCGGGGGCGCGCCTCGGCTGTTCCCACAGAGACCTGCAGGGGGCGCGCGTGGGAACACCCGGAGAAAGATGCTCAGCGGCCCTGGTTCGGGACCCGGCCCCGACCGAGGTCAGCGTGCAGGAGGTCCGCGGTCACCAAGGTCACGAGCAGCAGCCTGTGGAGGCCCGTGGGAGAGGAGACAGTGCCGGGAGGCTGGCTCTCGCTAGGGCAGCCACTGGCCAGGCGAGAGGTGCGAGTTCGGAGGAATCTGGCCCCTCCCCGGATTAAATGCAGAAGCTGTCAACACTAATTCAGGGGCTCACAGGTGCCCTGCAGCCATCCACGGGAAGATTCAGGATTGCAACCCCCGGCTATCATGTGTGTAATATCCTTGACCCTCGCCCCCACAATGTATGCATGGCTCCTGTTACCTGCTTTCCGGGCCCGGAACTTTTTCTTCACCGAATTGAATTTGCAATCCGTGTGTTTTCGTGATTTTAGGTGTGAGGTCTGTCTGTCTCACTAGTTTGTAAGCTACAAGCCTCCCGTCCTGGAATTTAGAGCCTCAGATCCTGGCCCCAGTGTACCCGGGGCTTTGGGGCTGGAGTTGCCACCTGGGGATGGGCTGAGGCTGAGGAGTGGACAGGTCAGCCCAGGGGCATCCAGAGCCCCTGCAGACTGCAGATGCTCTTACCCCTCATACCTCAAAGCCGCCTTCCCCTGAGAAGGACTACTTTCTTTTTTAAAGAGAGCTCGAGCACACTTGGGAGTTCCCTTTTTAAAAAAAAATATATCTATATAGTTGCTGAGGACCAAGCAGGGGAGAGACCTGTGCTGCCCTGTGATGGGAGCTGGGGCTGTGACCTGGGCAGGGGCAGTGTCGGGGAGCTACCGTTACTGGAGCTGGGGCCTGTGTCTTGCCCTGCCTAGTCATGCCCCTCAGGTGGGGAGAGCTGGAAGGGAGCATTGTCACCTCCCACCAGGATGCAGGATTTGGGATTGAGGTGAGTCATGGCCTCTTGCTGGCAAAGGTTTGTGGGGGGGAGTATCTGCAAACCCCCTCACTCCTCCAGCTTAGAATGTGAAATGACTCCCAACTCTTTGGCCATGGCACCCTTGGACGAGGCTGCCGCTGCTTGGGCAGGTAAAAGGTGCTGGGAGGAGTGTGGGTGTGAAAGTCCTGTCAGCCAAGAAATAAAAGTTTACCTCAGAGCTGCAAAAAAATAATAAAAAATAATAATAAATAAATAAATATATATATATATATATATATATATTTTTTTTTTATTGATTTTTTACAGAGAGGAAGGGAGAGAGGGATAGAGAGCTAGAAACATCGATGAGAAATATCGACCAGCTGCCTCCTGCACACCCCCTACTGGGGATGTGCCTGCAACCAAGGTACATGCCCTTGACCGGAATCACAGCAGTGGCAATACACATCACCCCAGAGCCCATAGTCAGTGCCCGGGGACTGAAGCACGAACTCTTATGGCACAAGACATGCAAATGTTGTCCCGGCACCTGAGAGAAAAGCAGGCAGTTCCTGTAATAGCCAGCGTGACTCAGTGATTGAGCGTCCACCTGGGAACCAGGAGGTCACGGTTCCATTCCCGGTCAAGGGCACATGCCCTGGGTTGCAGACCGAATCCCCTGAAGGGGGGGCGTGCAGGAGGCAGCCTATCAATGATTCTCTCTCATCATGGATGTTTTTATCTCTCTCTTCCTTTCTCTTCCTCTCTGAAATCAATAAAAATAAAAATATATTTTTTAACAAATCAGCAACTAACTCCAATGTTAATCACTAACTTAAAAAGAAAAAAAGAAAAAAAAAAAAAAAAAAAAAAGAGCCCTGGCTGGTTTAGCTCAATGGATAGAGTGTCAGCCTGCGAACTGAAGGGTCCCCGGTTCGATTCTGGCCAAGGGCACAGGCCTGGGTTGTGGGCACCATCCCCAGTAGGGGCCGTGCAGAAGGCAGCCAATCAATGATTCTCTCTCATCATTGATGGTTCTATCTCTCTCTCCCTCTCCCTTCCTCTCTGAAACCAATAAAGAAATATATATATTTTTTTTAAAGAAAAGAAAGACAGTTATCACTGCTGGCTGGGAGCCTGAATCTCAGCAGGGCTCCCAGCAAAGGCTCCCATTTCTAGAAGGTCGGTCTTCTGGTCCGTGCCCATAGCAACCAGGCCCGGCCCTGCAGGGAGAGTTATTTTTAGAGCGCTTTGGGAATTTTCCAGAGCATGGATAAGTTGGAGACTGTCTTCCTGGCGGGGTCACAAGTCCCTCCTGGGAAAAGCTGGCTCTGACCTTGAGGTTGGTTAGGCCTAACTGCCCTGCCGCCTCCGTCACAGCCGCCTGTGCCTTCCAGCCCTGGAATCCGCACACTGGGTGGCCTCAGAGCCCCAGGACGTGTTCTTGAACCGGGGGCTGCCCACCCCCGGCCCCCCACAACCCCACGGGAGCGGCACCCCCAAAAGGACGTCTTCTGAACGACATTCCGCCATCCCCGCGGCCTCCGCGGCGCCAGGGGGCGCTGTGGCGCTCGGTCAGCTTCTCTCTCGGAACCCCCAGCCACTGGCCCCACCGGCGCGATGGGCTCGGAGGTGGCGCAGCTGCTGGAAGCCGCCGACTTCGCGGCTCACAAGCACCGGAGGCAGCGGCGGATGGACCCCGAAGGGACCCCATACATCAACCACCCCATCGGTGGGCGCGCAGCCCCGGGAGGAACCTCGGCGGCGCGGGGGGTGGGAGGGGACGGGGTGAGTGGGATCGTGCACCTCATGGAGCACCCACTCTGCACCACACATTGGGGGTGGTGACACCTCCAACAATCTGGGGTGTGGGTGTGGGTGTGCATGGCTGTTCCCTGTGCACGATGGACACTCAGTGCAGGACAGGTCCGAGGACACCCCGTGAGTGAGGGGCCTCCTCTGGCTCCAGAAAACCCCAGCAGCACCCGCGGGCTGGGACCCCCCCCCCGCACCCCCCTTATCCGGTCTGATTTCCTGCTTTGCCCGGCAGGGGTGGCTCGGATCCTGACCCACGAGGCGGGGATCACTGACATTGCGGTGTTACAGGTAAACCCTCCGCCCCCCCATTCAGCCCTGGGCACACACCCCGGCCCCGGCCGGCGCCGCAGGGCTGAGCGGGGGCCTGTCCCCAGGCCGCCCTGCTCCATGACACGGTGGAGGACACGGACACCACCCTGGACGAGCTGGAGCTGCGCTTCGGGGCGCGGGTGCGGCGGCTGGTGGAGGAGGTGACGGACGACAAGACGCTGCCCAAGCCCGAGAGGAAGCGGCTGCAGGTGGAGCACGCCCCCCACAGCAGCCCCGGGGCCAAGCTGGTGAAGCTGGCGGACAAGCTGTACAACCTGAGGGACTTGAACCGCTGCACCCCGACGGGTAGGAGCCTGTCCCCTCCCTTCCCCTCACCTGCTCGGAGGGGACAGGGAGGGCCCATCTTCTGGAGGCCCAGGTGGCTCCGTCCCCCTGAGGGGGGGGGGTGTGAGGAGGAGGGGACAGCCTCCTGGGCGTTCTGGTCCATTTCCCTAAACGAGGCCCCACACTGATCTGCTTGCATCGGGCAAAAACGCAGAGGAGCTGGGCCCCAGGGGGAATTTCAGGACAAGGCCCGCCACCGAGCCCTCCAGGAAGTGGGCAGAGCCATTGCACGAGCCGTTCTCTGTCCGTTGCACGAGCCGTTTTCTGTCCGTTGCACGAGCCTTTCTCTGTCTGTTGCACGAGTCTGTTTTCTGTCCGTTGCTCGAGTCCGTTTTCTGTCCGTTGCACGAGCCGTTCTCTGTCCGTTCACTTGCAGGCTGGTCGGAGCACCGGGTCCAGGAATACTTCGAGTGGGCGGCACAGGTGGTGAAGGGGCTTCAGGGCACGAACCCGCAGCTGGAAGAGGCGCTGAAGCAGCTGTTCAGGGAGCGGGGGCTGGCCCTGTGAGCGCAGCCCGCAGCCCGCAGCCCGCAGCCCGGAGCCCGGAGCCCGGAGCCGGCATCGCAGATTCCAGCCTCATTGGACTCATTCTCCAGCCTTTGGGCGCCTTCTCGAGCCCAGCGGCCCCAAAAACATTTGCCCTTTCTCACCCTGAGGGTTCTCCTGCCAAGTAAACTGAGCCTGGATGGTGGGGGTCGGCCGCACCCCGTCCACGTCGGATGCATCCACTGCCCTGCAGGCCTTGGGTCTGTTGGCCATTTCTGCAGAAGTGGGACCTCTGGTCCCCCCGGGGAACTTGGGCTTAGATGGACGCTCGTTTCAAAGTCGTTTTTGGAAAATAAAGCATTTCCGGTCAAGTCTGAGCTGCTGCTCCTTCTCGAGACGCTGGAAGGACGAACCCGCAGGTGGGATTCCCGCCCTGAGCCAGGTCCCTCGGGTCGAGGGCCTTCACCTCAGCCCCGTTTCCTATCGCTGAGAAAGGCGGGCGGTGAACTCCCAGGGCTCCATAGCGCGACGTGTTTGAAGGAGCCTGACGGATGCTCCATGAATGGGAGTCGTCCTCCTTGGGAAAGGCGATTGCCCGCCGGCTTGCTCCAAGCTCCGGCCCAGCCACAGGATAGGCCCGCGTCGCAGCCTGTCACCTGGTTGCTAAGCTACGGTTGCTCCGGAAGCGGCCCCTCCCACCTAGCCCGGGTGGGCGGGACCTGGCGGCTGCGGCGCTGTGAGTGGCAAGTGCGTTGGGGGGCGGGCCTATCGCACGAGGAGTTTTGGGGTCTAAGGAGCCGCTGAAGTTTATGAGCCCCTTGGGAAGGGTGCACTTGGGGGGCCCTTAGCTCACAGCCACTTCTTTCTGCCCAAAGCAGGCCCAGTGCACTCCGCAGGGGGGGAGGGGGGAAAGACAAAGGGCAACAAAATGATGACTTTAAAAGGAAATTAGTTTTGCCGTGGTTAGAGCCTTGATCCGCCTCCAGGAGGATCCTGGGTTCGATTCCGTTCAAGAATGGCAGGTTCGCCCTGGCTGGTTGAAGGGTGCCAGTTTCCATTCCATGCCCTGGTTGCAGGCTCCCAGCCCTGATTTGGGAGGATGAGGGGGCGGGGAAGGGGTATGCTGGAGGCAACCAATTGATATTTCTCCTTCTTTTTAAAAAAATATTTTTTTATTGATCTCAGAGAGGAAGGGAGAGGGAAACATCCATGATGAGAGAGAATCACTGGTCGGCTGCCTCCTGCACGCCCCCTACTGGGGATCGAGCCCACAACCTGGGGCATGTGCCCCTGATTGGGAATCGAACCTGGGACCCTTCCGTCCGCAGGCTGATGCTCTATCCACTGAGCCAGGACTGATATGTCTCTTTCATATTGGTGTCTGTCTCTTCCAATCTAAAAATCAATGGAAAAAATTGATTAAATTTTTTAAAAATAGCAGGTTTAATCCCTTGTGTGAGAGGCAAGCAATTATTGTGGCTCTCTTCCATCACAATTTCTCTCCCACCCCCACTCCCTCTTAAAAAAAATTTAATGGAAAAATATCCTTGGGTGAGGATTAAAAAAAAGAAAATCAATGGAGGGAAATATAACCTCTGGCGAGGATTAACAAGAAGGAAATGAGTTTCCGGACAGTCCCTGAAAAACCGATCAAGTTCACAAGTTCAGTGTAATCCTCTTACCTCGTAAGGCAGTGCCAGGTGCAGTACCTTTTAGAGATTGAGGATTGTTGTGTGTGTGGGTTTTTTTTTTGTTTGTTTGTTTTTTTAAATATATTTTGTTGATTTTTTACAGAGAGGAAAGGAGAGAGATAGTTAGAAACATCAATGAGAGAGAATCATCCATCAGCTGCCTCTTGCACACCCCCCACTGGGGATGTGCCCGCAATAGAGATACATGCCCTTGACGGGAATCGAACCCGGGACCTTTCAGGTGGCCTGAAGAACTCTGCTGTCTCCCCAAAACTTCAGGCAGCAGCTTAGCAGGCCCAGTGGCTCTCTGTAAGGGCCCCACAGCAAGCTTTCCCCTAAAATAATGGTACTCACCCATTTATTTATTTTGTTAATCCCCACCTGAGGGTATTTTCCCACTGATTTTTAGGGAGAATGCAAGAGAAAGGGAAAGACAGAGAGAAACATTCATGTGAGAGAAACACATTGATTGGTTGCCCCCTGCATGAGCCCTGACCAAGACCGGGGCCGGGGAGGAGCCTGCAACCGAGGTACGTGCCCTTGACCGGAATCGAACCCGGGACCCTTTGGTCTGCAGGCTGATGCTCTATCCACTGAGCCAAACAGGCTAGGGCAAATATTGTCTCCCAAACCTGTCCTTTGCATTTTAACCCTGATATCTTCCGTCATACAGAAACCCTGGATATTTCGTGGTAAAATCTTTCTTTCCCCTCATTATATCATTTCCCTTATGATTATGACCCTCTTAGGTTTCCTGTCATGTTTATAACGGGCCTTTCCATAGCAGAGGTTTGAAAAGATCCTGTATTTTCTTCAGGAATTTTATAGTTTAACTTTATTAAAATACCCCTTTTATCCTAAATCCCCAAATATCCGGTCTGCGCATGTGTGTGTGTGTGTGTGTGTGTGTGTGTGTGTGTGTGTCCCGTCCATTCGCGGCTCCCACTCCAGGCGACACGCGTTGAGCGTCCTTTGGGGAATCCCCAAGGACACGTGCCGGCTGCCCCCCCACCCCCACCCCAGCACGGAGCCCCCCCCCGCCCCCCAGACTCATCAGGACTCAGATTCGCTTCGTACTCTCACACATTTACTCTTCCAAATGAACTTTAGAGCCTGCCACATTCCAAAAAGTACCCAAATCACGGGGACAGCATGAACGAACGGGCTGGGTGGAGAGAGCCAGAATCTATACGGGAAATGGATGTGTGTCATTTGGGTCAGCTTACAGGAAGCTGCTAGTGGGCCTTCCACGGACACACTCAGATTTTACAGGCCGGCCCTCCTATCGTCTGCCAAGGACAACTGCCACTTTCTCTTCTCCGCCGTCTGCCTGCCGCGGGGTCAGCCGGGCAGGGACTTCCCCAGTAACGGGAGCCCTCGGCCAGTTTCCGGCTTGAACCGGAACGCCCGGAGTCGGCCCCTTTAGGATGCCATAACCTGTTGGTTTCTCAGAGACCTTTGCCCAGAGAAACCCGTCTCTTTCTAATCTGAAGAGTTTTAATAAGGGAGAGATTGTAAATTCTGCCAAATGCCGTTTCAGCGTCTATAGAGACTATCACAAAAGGCTCTCTATTGATCGAAGCTGAGGGGAAGGCTGCTGAGCAGCCACGGGGCCCCCGTCACCCACATGTCCCTGGTCCCTGGGCCAGGACCCCGATTCTCCCGGAGACGCACCGAGTCACAACCCCCATGGCTGGAAGGGGCAGGAAGGGGCTGGCGGGGACCGTGGTGTGCAGAGGACAGGAACCAGAGAGGAATCCCCAGTGGGGAGAGCCCCCAGGCCCTGGCCACCATTCCCCAGATCACACTCAGACCAGGCACCCCGTCTGAGCTGGGGATTCTGCACCTTCCACCACGCTGCAGCCCCTGGCCAGGGCGTGCGGGCAGGGAGCACTCAGAGCGGAGCCCTCACAGGAAGCAGGAGTCCTCCTGCTCCTCCACCCGCTGCCAGCTCCGGGCCCCACCCCCTCCTCCCAGCACCCCTCTGCTCCTGCTCGTCACCCCGGGACACAGTCCCTACACGACCACAGGATCCCCCAGGACCAGCGACCGAGGCTGGAGGTGAGCCCTCCAGTCCCCCCACCTCTCCTGATCCTCCTCCATCCCATTTCGGGAAAAGGATGGGCGCTTGAGCCGGTGCCTTATGGGGCGGCCATTCACCCCAAAGCCGGGGCAGGTCCTGCCCGTTCTGACCAGGGCCTTCTCTCCCGGGGCTCACCGGCGTCTGCCCTGGCCGCCCGGCACACAGGAAGCCGGGCCGGGCTCAGTCCGTCAGTTCTGAGAGGCCGACCGGGACGGGCCCGGTGCGGCTGGTCCGCCCCAGCTGATGCCGGCGGTGGCGGCGGCTCTGAAGACGGCTCCCCCTCCGGCCACGGAGCCCTAGCCCAGGCGGAGGCGGAAGGTGGCCACCTCCATGGGCTCCAGGGACACGTCCGTGCTGTTGGAGGGCGCGGCCAGCGGGTACAGCAGCGTCAGCGAGGTCGGCTGCAGGAAGCCCACGTCCAGGCCGTGGAAGAGGCTCCCCAGGGCCACCTGTGCGGAGAGGGGGGGAGAGAGAGGGCGCTGGGTGCTGACCCGCCAGGGGGACGGCCCTTCCTCCAAGGCCCGCTGTGCCCGCCGGCGGCGCCGTGCCCGCGTACTCAGGCTCGGGCTCACCGGGGCGTGCTCAGCCCGAGCCTGACCTTGGGCCTGAGGTCGGGACCACTGCGGGGAGCTCTCGGGGGGCAGGGGCCACGTCTGTCCTCTTCTGAGGCATTTGTGGGTGCCGGCTCAAACAACAAATACAGTTTGATGGTTTGGGGTTTTTTTTGTGTGTTTGTTTTTTGTTAATCCTCTTCTATTGATTTTTTTTTTTTTTAAGGGAGAATAGAAAAGAAAGGGAAAGACAGAAACATCAATGTGAGAAAAACACATCAATGGATTGCCTCCTGCATGAGCCCAGAACAGGGTCCGAGCTGGGGAGGAGCCTGCGATCAGATATCCGGAACTGAGCCGGGAGGGACCCTTCGGCCCGCAGGCGGCGCTCTGTCCGCTGAGCCGCACCGGCCGCGGTGCTGCTGGTTTTTAATTTCTGTGTCAGACGGACATCCCTACGCGTGAGCAGTGGTCCAGCTAGAACAGTTGTTCTCGTCTAGAACTTGCCCCACCGGGCCTCCGTAGCTTTGAAAACAAATGTTAGCAGCTTCCACTTTTCTAAAATACCCAGTGACCCCTGCCCCCGCCCCCCGCTGACCCCTGCCTGACCTCACTGCAGCCTCACCCCCCCCCCCGCCTCCTCTCCTCGGCCCCCTCCCACGCCGGGGCCCCGCTCACTTTGCCTTGGCTTGTGGTGCAGTTGAAGCCCAAGTTCTTGGCCTCAAGGCTGCAGTCGAAGCCTTTGCGGTGCAGGATGAGTGCGGCTTCTGCCGAGGGCAAGGAGGGCTCATCCTGGTGACAGACAGCACCAGGCAGTGAGGCAGGTGCTCCCCGAGCTCGCAGGTGCTCCCCGAGCTCACCCACAGGTGCTCCTGGGGGCTCACAGGTGCTCCCGGGGGGTCACGGGGGCTCACAGGTGCTCCCGGGGGCTCACAGGTGCTCCCTGGGGCTCACACACAGGTGCTCCCCGGGCTCACAGGTGCTCCCGGGGGCTCACAGGGGCTCCCCGGGCTCACAGATGCTCCCCGGGGGTTCACAGGTGCTTCCCGGGCTCACAGGGGCTCCCCGGGGGCTCACAGATGCTCCCGGGGGCTCACAGATGCTCCCCGGGGGCTCACAGGTGCTCCCCGGGCTCACAGGGGCTCCCCGGGGGCTCACAGGAGCTCCCCGGGCTCACAGGGGCTCCCCGGGGCTCACAGGGGCTCCCCAGGCTCACAGGGGCTCTCCCGGGCTCACAGGGGGTCCCCAGGCTCACAGGGGCTCCCCAGGAGCTCACAGATGCTCCCGGGGGCTCACAGATGCTCCCGGGGGCTCACAGGGGCTCCTCGGGCTCACAGATGCTCCCGGGGGCTCACAGGGGCTCCCCGGGCTCACAGGGGCTCCCCGGGCTCACAGATGCTCCCGGGGGCTCACAGGGGCTCCCCGGGCTCACAGGGGCTCCCTGGGCTCACAGATGCTCCCGGGGGCTCACAGGGGCTCCCCAGGGCTCACAGGGGCTCCCCGGGCTCACAGGTGCTCCCTGGGGCTCACACACAGGTGCTCCCCGGGAGCTCACAGCTGCTCCCCGGGGCTCACAGGTGCAGCAGCACCTCTGCCTGAAGGCGGTGCTGGGACAGAGGAGCTGGGTGAGGACAGGCCGGATTGGTCCCGGAGGTGCAGGCTGGGCGGATCCTCACCTCGGCCTGGAGCGTGCGCAGGTTGAGCAGGTGGAAGTCACAGGGCAGCGAGGAAGCCAGAGGCTGGAAGGGGCGCAGGCGGGGCGCTGGGGGCTGCCGCGTGGCCACGGGCAGGGCGAGCACCGGGGCGTTGAGGTACACGGAGGTCAGGTGGCTGAGGAGGGACGGGTAGCTGGTGGAGCGGCCGTCTGGCACCTGCAAGACGGGCCCGAGATGCAGGTGAGGGGACAGAGCCAGGGGGAGGGGGACGGTGAGGATGAAATACAACCAGGCCAGCCAAAACCAGTTTGGCTCAGTGGATAGAGTGTCGGCCTGTGGACTGAAGGGTCCCGGGTTCGATTCCGGTTAAGGGCATGTACCTTGGGTGCAGGCACATCTCCAGTAGGGGGTGTGCAATAGGCAGCTGATCGATGGTTCTCTCTCATGGATGTTTCTAACTCTCTATCCCTCTCCCTTCCTCTTTGTAAAAATAAATAAATAAAATATATATTAAAAAAAAAAAAAAAAAAAAAAGAAATACAACCAGGCCAGTTCCTCTGGAGAGAGCTTCCCTGATGGGTCTGGATACAGGGGTCCGGCTCCAGGGCCACTTCCCACCGCACACCACTGGGAAAGGGCTCCTTGCCCGGCCAGGGTGGCTCAGTGGGTGAGCACTGACCTAGGACCCAGGAGGCCAGGGTTCGATTCCCGGTCGGGGCACAGGCCCGGGTTGCGGGCTGGATCCCCAGGGTGGGGCGTGCAGGAGGCAGCCGTTCAGTAATTCTCCCTCACGATTGATGTGTCTCTCCCCCTCTCCCTCTCTGGAATAAATAAAAAGCGCATAAAACAAACAAACAAACAAACAAACAAATAAGAGAATGAAACACAAACGGCCCTCACCCCGCTGCCCAGGGCGCGGCGCTCCAGGAGGAGGCGGAAGCGGTTGCGGGTCCGCTTGTTGTCCTTGAGCCCCTGGCCCAGGCCGCGGTTGTCGTCCTGCATCAGCCGCCGGTCCAGGATCACCTCCAGCTGGCCTGCGGGGCGCACGGCGAGTCCCCGCAGACAGTGACCTCAGGGGCCGGGGGAGCCGGGGCGGGGGCGGGGGTGGGGGTGGCCGGAAGCCGAGTCACTGGGAGGGGGAGAGGCCCTGGGAGTGGAGCTGGGAGGGGCGGGGGGGTGTCCCTGAAGGGCTGGCCTCGCAGAGGAGGGCACCGGAGTCGAGGCCTGGCAGACCTCAGCCCGGCCCCGTGTCTCCCGGGCAGGAGGGCAGCGGGAGGACAGCCAGGCAGAGGCTGGGAGGAGGGGTCCTCGGGTTGCCCAGGGGAACAGAGACGGCAGAGGTGGCCTGGGCTCGCTCGCTCTCTGAGAGACACTGAGAGACACTGTGGCCCGCACCACGCTGTCATCACTGCACTCCGCTGCGTTTCCATCACAATGACAGTTTATGACTGTTCAGTAAACCATTCGGCCCGCGATTTAGGCTGGATTTTAGATTTTGGCCCCTTCTCTGATTGAGTTCGACACCCCTACTCTAGAGGGTTTTCACACACACACACACACACACACACACACACACACGGCCCTCCGCCTCTCCCCCCTCCCAGCCCCGGTTCTGATGTGGGAGGTCCTGCAGTCTTCCCCAGGCAATCACAGAAAGGTGGCCAGAAAGCCTGAAACGGCCTCCCGGCATATAGAACAGCCATTTCTTGGGCCCTGGCTGGACAGCTGTTCAGAGCATCACCTCAACGTGCCCAGGCTGTGGGCTCAATCCCCAGTCAGGGCGCAGACAAGAATCAATCGAAGAGTGCACAAATAAGTGATAGAAAGAATTACTATTTGTTTGTTTTTATCTCTTTCTCTCTCCCCTTTCCCCCTCTCAAATGAATAAAAATAAATAAGTGAAACAGCCCTAACCAGTTTGGCTCAGTGGATGGAGTGTCGGCCAGTGTCAAACCTGGAGAATCGGGTCCCAGGTTCGATTCCGGTCAAGGGCATGCACTTTGGTTGTGGGCACATTCCCAGTGGGGGATGTGCAGGAGGCAGCTGATCAATGTTTCTCTCTTATCCATGTTTCTGACTATCTCTCTCCCTTCCTCTCTGTACAAAATTAATAAAATATATCTTAAAAAAAAAAGTATCATTCTCATTTTTTAATGACCATGAGCAGGAAGACGGTACGTCTTTTTCTCCTTTGCTAAATAATTCATTCCAACACCAATGCCCTTCCCAACGGTCCCTCTCCCATCCCCGGCCGGAGGGGACTGCACACCCGGGCTGAGAAGCCACGTTCAGCCCGGCTGTGGTGGCTCAGTGGATTGAACGCCATTCCATGGACCAAGAAGTCCCAGGTTCGATTCCCGGTCAGGGCACATGCCCGGTTGCAGCTCGATTCTGAGCAGGAGGTGTGCAGGAGGCAGCTGATCCACGCTTCTGTCTTATCACTGATGTTTCTCTCTCTCCCTCTCCCTTCTTCTCTGACATCAATTAAAATTTTTTTCTTCTTTTTTTCTTCTTTTTAAATATGTTTTGATTTTTTTACAGAGAAGAAGGGAGAGGGATAGAGTTAGAAACATTGATAAGAGAGAAACATCAATCAGCTGCCTCCTGCACAGCCCCTACTGGGGAAGTACATGCCCTTAACCAGAATCGAACCCAGGACCCTCGTGTCTGCAGACCGACGCTCTATCCACTGAGCCAAACTGGTTAGGACAATTTTTTTTTTCTTTAAAAAAAGAATCACTGTTCGATATTCTGATGGCTCTTGAGGGGTGCCTCCATTGGGGGGGGGGGTGACAGAGGCGCCTGTGACTGGCAGCTGTAATGGCTCACCCCTAGCAAATGGGGGACAGGACGGGGGTGGGGGGGGTGCGAACTGGAAGGGGAGGGGGGACTACAGAGCGGAGAGGCTCTGGGGCAGGGTGTGCTTCCTTTCCCGCCCTCGCCCCCATGCGGCTCCTGCTCCCACTCACCGTCGCCGAGGCTGGAGACGCCCAGGGCCTGGGCCGTGTGCAGCGTGAGCCGGTCCCGGGCGTCCTGGATGTAGGCCATGACGGGCATGGGGTAGAAGTTGGCCTGCAGGGGCAGCTTCCGCAGGTACCGCCGCGGCTGCACCTGTGGGCACGGCCAGCGGTCAGGGCACCAGGCCCGGCGGGGCCCGGGGACCCCAGTCTGGGGGGTCCCTGGCCTCTCGCCTGGCTCCCCTTCTCCACCGGGGACACCCCTGACCTCACCCCCGGGCCCGGCGTCACCTGGAAGCCGTTGAGGTCGGTGAAGAAGGCGCCCTGGCTGTCGATGTCGGTCTGGATGCGCAGCGCCAGCTCCTTGTTGACGTAGTCCCGGATGTCCACCAGCGAGGACACGTCCAGCGACAGCCCCTCCACGCCTGCCCGGACAGAGGGAGCGTGTGAGGCCGAGCGAGGCGGGAGGCAGCTGGGCGGGCGGTGCCACCCGGGCCATCTCTCCCTGGATGACCTTTCTGCGCCCCCCCCCACGCCCCCCGCAGGAGGAAGTGAGTGTCACAGCCCCAGGCCCACGCCTCCTTCCTCCTCCCCCTCTTCCTTCTCCTCCCCCCCCGCCCCCCTCCTCTCTCTCCCACTCCCCTTCTTCCTCCTCTCCCTCCTCCCCCCCTTCCCCCCCTCCTCTCTCTCCCACTCCCCTTCTTCCTCCTCTCCCTCCTCCCCCCCTTCCCCCCCTCCTCTCTCTCCCACTCCCCTTCTTCCTCCTCTTCCTCCCCCCCTCCTCTCCCTCCTCCCCCTCTTCCTCCCCTTCCTCCTCCCCCCCTCCCCTTCCCCCTCCCCCCCCCCCCCCCCGCGGGCGCACCTGGCAGGTTGTAGAGCCGGACCACCTGGTGGACGTGCTCGTAGAAGGCCGCCACCTCCGAGAAGAAGGGGCCCTCGGTGACGCGCAGCACGGGGGGCTCCTTGGGGACGTAGGGCTGGCAACGAGCGAGCGGGTGGCACTGAGCCCGGCACAGAGCAAAGCGGGGGGGACCAGCCCAGGGCCCGCCGGGGAGGGGTAGTGACCTGAGACCCTGCTGAGCTGGGCCACCCCCTTACCTCCCCCCACCTCCCAGAGGCAGCCAGGCGGCCCCGCCCCCGGGTACCTGGGCCTCGCCGTCAGGCAGGAAGAGGTAGGCGCCGCTCTTGTCCTTGGACGTGCGGGTGCCGTAGACCAGGAACTGCATGTCCACGCGCTGCTCCCGCTCCTCGTCCGCCCTCCGGACGCTCTGCCGAGAAACACAGCCCTGACCCCTGGCCCCACGCCGGCATGTCAGGCCTGCCCCCTGGGAGGGCGGACCCTCCCGCGAGCCCCCGGCCCCGGCCCCGCCCCCGCCGGGCCACACCTTGAGGAGCCCGCTGGGGCCCGAGAACCGCGCCTGCAGGTAGCGGTTGCTGAGGGCGAAGTCGCCAGGGCCCGAGTCGCTGACGCGCAGGGGGCAGGCCTCGGGCCGGCTGACGGCCAGCTTGCGGCCCTGCAGGTAGACCCGCACGGAGGAGGGCAGCGTGCGGTGGGCATCCAGGCCGGCCTGCAGCTGCAGCACGCCCAGGCCCAGCGCCGGCAGGCGGACGGGCACAGACACCTACGGCACGGGGGGGGGGGGGGGGGGGGGGGGGCGGGGGGGGGAAAGGCACAGCCGGCGTCAGTGGGGGCGCAGGCCTGGGTTCGGGTCCTGGGGCCTCCGTCCCTCCTCCGCAAGGGGGGGGTGGTGTTACTGTCCCCGTCAGACTGCTACGAATCTCAAATGACACTGGAAAAACTACGAAGTGGCAAACCCCAAAGCTGAGGTTTGCTGAGCCCTGGCCAGTTTGGTTCAGTGGATAGAGCATTGGCCTGCAGACTGAAGGGTCCCGGGTTTGGTTCCCGGTCAGGGCTCATTTCCGGATTGCGGGCACAATCCCCTGAAGGGGGCATGCAGGAGGCAGCCGATTCATGATTCTCTCTCATCATTGATGTTTCTTTTTCTTTTTTAAAAAATATGTTTTATCGATTTCTTACAGAGAGGAAGGCAGAAGGGTAGTTAGAAACACGGAGGAGATAGAAATACTGATCAGCTGCCTCCCGCACGCCCCCCCACTGGGGATGTGCCCGCAACCAAGGTCCATACCCTTGACCAGAATCGAACCTGGGACCCTTGAGTCCGCAGGCCGACGCTCTATCCACTGAGCCAAACCAGTCAGGGCATCATTGATGTTTCTCTCTCTCTCTCCCTCTCTGAAATCAATAAAAATAAAAAAAGTAAATATTGCTATTTAAAACAAATAAATAAAAACAACAACAACAAAGAATCTCTTTCTGAAAGAACGAGTGACAGGCAACACAAAGCCACCCTCTCTCCAGGGCTAGTCCAGACCTCGCCTTCCTCTGGGCAATCCCTGCCCCCAGGGCCCGGCCCCACCCCGGGGGAGGGCGGAGGGAGGCGGGCGGAGGCCAGGAGGGCTGGGTCACCTGGTAGACCTCGGGGACCACGTCGGTGGCGGACCTCCAGTGCGGGCTGAGCTGCACGGCCAGGGGCTGGCCCTCGTCCGACAGGACGCGCACCCGGGGCGAGCTGACCAGCAGGGTCACCACGCTGAGCCGCTCCTGGTCCAGCGGGTTGAAGAGGACCACGTACCTGCGGGCGGAAGGGGAGCTGCCAGCAGGCCTCTGCGCCCGGGGCAGCTGTGGGGGCGGTGGTGGGGTGGGGGTGGGGGGTCAGGGAGCGGCTCTGCCCTGGGCACAGCCTGGGCCGGCTCACCTGGGCGAGGCGTCCAGCTGGATCAGTGTGGGCTCCGGCAGGGCGTCATGGTTTAAGCGGGTGTCATCCTGGAATTAAACGGTGGGAAGGCCCTAGCTGGTGTGGCCCAATGGACAGAGCGTCAGCCTGTGGACTGAAGGGTCCCAGGTTCGATTCCCAGTCGAGGGCACATGCCCGGGCTGCGGGCTCGATCCCCAGAAGGGGGGCGTGCAGGAGGCAGCCGATCCATGATTCAGCCGATCCATGATTCTCCCTCATCATGGATGTTTCTCTCTCTCTCCCTCTCCCTTCCTCTTTGAAATCAATAAAATGATGTATTTAAAAAATGATGGGCAGGGAACAGCCATCAGGGGGCTCGGCCTGAGGCAGCATCCTGCCGCCTCCCCACCCGTGTGCAGCTGCACTCGCCCCCGGACAGGGCAGGGAAGGGGGACAGACCCGCACGCCCTGCCTTGGGGCCGAGCAGGGCAGGGCGGACTCACCGTCTGCAGGAAGGGCGCCTCGGGGTCGAAGCGGTAGGCCTCCTTGTCCCCCAGCACCAGGTAGTGGGCGGCGTTGACGATGACCTGCTTCAGGCTGACCAGGGAGCGCAGCAGCCTGGGGGGCGAGAGGGACCGTGGGGACACGGCCTCACACGCTGTCCACGCGCCCGCGGGACACGGCTCCGGGCGGCCTGCCCACGGGCGCCCGCACGGCCTTTCTCTGGGGGCGTGGGGGGCAGGGCCGCACCTGACGCCGTAGTCCACCACCACGGCCTCCTTGGCGGTGCCGGTGATGGCGTCGTGGTGCTGGAAGAGCCCCAGGGTGCGCCGGGCCTCGGTCAGGAGGGCGAAGTTGGAGAGCGGGTACTGGCTGGCCAGGCCGGAGCGGCGGGCGTGAGCGGCTGCCAGGCTGTAGAGGATCTCCGCCCCGCTGTGCAGAGAGGGGAGTCAGCGCCCGCCCGCCCGCCAGCCCGTCCGACCATCCGTCCGCCTGCCCGCCCGCCCATCCGCCCGCCCGTCCGCCCACCCGTCCGCCCGCCCGCCGCCCGCCCGCCCAACTGTCCGTCCGCCCGCCCATCCGCCGTCCGCCCGCCCGCCCGCCCGTCCGACCATCCGTCTGCCTGCCCGCCCACCCATCCGCCCACCCGTCCGTCTGCCCGCCCGCCCATCCGCCCGCCCGCCCGCCCATCCGCCCGCCCGCCCGCCCATCCGTCCGCCCGCCCGCCCATCCGTCCGCCCGCCCGCCCAACCGTCCGCCCGCCCGCCCATCCGCCGTCCGCCCGCCCGCCCGCCCGCCCGCCCGCCCGCCCGTCCGACCATCCGTCTGCCTGCCCGCCCGCCCGCCCGCCCGTCCGCCCGCCCGCCCGACCATCCGCCCACCATCCGTCCGCCCGTCCGCCCGCCGCCCGCCGCCCGTCCGCCCAACCGTCCGTCCGTCCGCCCGCCCGTCTGCCATCCGCCCGCCCGCCAGTCCGCCCACCCATCCGCCCGCCCGCCCATCCGCCCGTCTGCCCATCCGCCCGCCCGCCCGCCCGCCCGTCCGACCATCCGTCCGCCCGCCCATCCACCCACCCATCCGTCCGCCCGCCCTTCCGCCCGCCCATCCGCCCGTCCGCCCGTCCGCCCGTCCGCCCGCCCGCCCGTCCACCCGTCCGCCCGCCCGCCCGTCCGTCCACCCGTCCGCCCGCCCATCCGTCCGCCCGCCCATCCGCCCGCCCGCCCGTCCGACCATCCGTCCGTCCGCCCGCCCGTCCGCCCGCCCGTCCGACCATCCGTCCGCCCGCCCGTCCGACCATCCGTCCGTCCACCCGCCCGTCCGCCCGTCCGCCCGCCCGTCCGCCCGTCCGCCCGCCCGTCCGCCCGCCCGTCCGCCCGTCCGCCCGCCCGTCCGCCCATCCGTCCGCCCGCCCGTCCGCCCGTCCGCCCGTCCGCCCGCCCGCCCGCCCGCCCGCAGGCCTCAGGGCCCCTCCTCCCCTCCCCGCCGCGCACCGCAGATGGGCCTCCAGGACGCGGTCCAGGCTCTTGTAGAAGGGCCGGGAGGTGTAGTAGCCGGTCCAGTAATGGTCCTCGCGGTCGGCGTAGGAGAAGAAGTCTCCGCTCAGCACGGGGAACCCCGGGGGCTGGGCCCCCGGCTCCACCCGCGTCCTCTTGTACAGGGCGTCGAAGTAGTCCGAGAGGGTGCCAAACTGGGCCTGCGGGGACCCCGAAAAGCCGCCCTTCAGTGCCATGGCGCCGGCGCAGGCCCTGTCCCTGCCGGGCGCCCTCTGGCCCCACGCCCCGGCTGGGGGCCTGGTTGGGAATTCTGGGAGATGAGAAAGACAAACACCGCTCATCTGTGCAATCGAATGAACAGAATGAATTGACCAACAAAATAGGAGGCACGGACATCCTGACACAGCTCGATGTGGGGTTGGGGGGACGAGAAGAGACAAACCAAAGAACTTATATACTTATATGCAGAGCCCATGGACTGGGCAATGGGGTGGGGAAGACCTGAGGGGCGGGGGTTAAGGGTTGGGAGGATGGGAGTAAAAAAGGGGAAAGGGGAAATATCTATTACACTATCAACAATAAAAAGTTTACTTAAAAAAAATAAAAAATACGGCCCTAGCCGGGTTGCTCAGTGGATAGAGCATCAGCCTGCGGTCTGAATGGTCTCGGGTTCGATTCCGGTCAAGGGCACATGCCCAGGTTGTGGGCTCGATCCCCAGTGGAGGGTGTGCAGGAGGCAGCCGATCCATGATTCTCTCTCATCATTGATGTTTCTATCTCTCTCTCTGGCTCCCTTCCCTCTCTGAAATCAATAAAAATGTATTTTAAAAAATTAACATTAAAAGTAATTAAAAAAAACAAACAAAGTATGGCCCTAGCCTGTTTGGCTCAGTGGGTAGAGCATCAGCCTGCGGAATGAAGGGTCCCAGGTTCAATTCCAGTCAAGGGCCCGGACCTCGGTGGCAGGTTCCCCCTCCCTGGTCCGGGTGCGAGCAGGAGGCAGCCCACCGAGGTGTCCCTCTCGCATCGATGTTTCCCTCCCTCTCCTTTCCACTCTCTCTAAAAGCCGATGGATAAACGTCCTCGGGTGAGGGTTTAAAAAACACAATAAATAGGTAAATAAAAAATGAACCTTTAGAAAGAGAGGAGAGAGAAGCGAAGCCCCGGGGGGAGGGTGGGGGACGGGGGGCCGCACGGAAAGGCCCACCTGCACGTGCAGGTCGGGCTGGCCGTTGAGGAAGTCGAAGAGCCGCTGGTAGTTGAGGAACTGGGCGTCCCACTCCTGCGGCTTGTCGTAGCGGAAGTCGTCGCCCAGCGGCACCAGCAGCACGTTGGTGCGGAAGAGCCGGGACTTCTTGCGGTACTGGTCCAGGAGCAGCGCCGCCCTGCGGGGAGGGCCCGGAGGCTGAGCAGGTGCCCGGCCTCGGGCCTCCGGGGTGGGATCCGGCCTGGAGCCCGGCGCTCTCCGCGGTGCTGACCGGAAGAGAGAGGCCTGGCCTGGGCCGGGCTGCAGGGATGGCTTCCGTCTCCTGCCCCCACACACAACAGACCAGTCCTCCTGCCCTGTGATCCACCTTCAAACACACCCAAGGCCCTAACCAGCCAAAACCGGTGTGGCTCAGTGGATAGAGCGTCGGCCTGCGGACTGAAGGGTCCCTGGTTCAATTCCGGTCAAGGGCATGCACCTTGGTTGCCGGCACATCCCCAGTAGAGGGAGTGTGTGGGAGGCAGCTGGTCAATGTTTCTCTCTCATCGACGTTTCTAGCTATCTATCCCTCTCCCTTCCTCTCTGTAAAAAATCAATAAAAATATATTTAAAATAAATAAATAAATAAAATAAAATATCGAATATATATATATTTTAAAAAAGAAACATCAGCCGGGACCGGTTTGGCTCAATGGATAGAGCGTCGGCTTAGGGACTGAAGGGCCCCGGGTTCGATTCCGGTCGAGGGCATGGACCTTGGTTGCGGGCACATCCCCAGTAGGGGGTGTGCAGGAGGCAGCTGATCGATGACTCTCTTTCATTGATGTTTCTAACTCTCTATCTCTCTCCCTTCCTCTCTGTTCTGTACAAAAATCAATAAAATATATTTAAAAAAAAGAAAAAAAAGTAAAGAAACATCAATTTTGAGAGAGAATCATCGATCAGCTGCCTCCTGCACACACCCTACTGGGGATGTGCCCGCAACCAAGGTCCATGCCCTTGACCAGAATCGAACCCGGGACCTTTCAGTCCGCAGGCCGACGCTCTATCCACTGAGCCACACCGGCTTTGGCGATAATAATTTTTCTTTAACTAAAAGAAATAACAAAAGGAAAGTCCTGCCTCCGCAGCCCGAGGCCGGTTGTGTGTTTGGATCTGGAAACAAAGGGCCCCTTTCTCTCCCTCCGGTCACGTGCGCTTCCACCGCTCCAGGGACATCGCGGAAACCAGAGGCCGCAACCCGAAAACCAGTCCAACCTGCTGGATTCGTGAGGCCGTTTCTGATCCCTCTTAACCTGCACGCTCCCAGGGGGCCATGTCAGCCACAGGGACGTTCTCGGGGTCCCCAGTGCCGGTCCCAGAGGGAACGAGCCTGCTTTCTCAGGGGCTGGCGGCTGCTGGGCGGCTCCCCCCGCACCTCTGAGGGGGGTTCCGGGACATGGAGGGTCCCGGCTGCCTGAGGTCACGTCGGGCCGAAGGGAAGGCTGGAAAGAACTGTGTGAATCTGGGAAGTATTTCCCTCCGAGGCAGTCACGGGGCTCTGACAGATCGTGAGGACAAAGGGGGCCGTGCTCACTTAGGGAATACGGCTACGCGGGCCCCTCCACTCCCCCGGGGAGACTCAGCGCCCGCACCTGCTCCCTCTGCGAAGCCCCCTGCAGCGGAGCCCGGGCGGGCGGGCGGGCGGGCGGCCGTACCTCTCGGCCACGTTGGCCTCCGTGATGGCACGGGGAGGCACCTTCCATGGGCAGTTGATGCGCCCGCCGGGCAGGCGTTTGAAGTCGAACTGGCAGCAGATCTTGGGGTCCGGGCCGCAGGTGTGGGGCACGTCGTAGCTGTAGAAGGGCATCATGTGGCAGAGGATGTCCGTGCTCGAGTCCGCGTCTGCGGGGGACACGGCGGGCGGTCAGCCAGCCCCCAGCCGGCGGCGTCGGGGGCACCCCCCCGAGGGAGGGGAGCCTGGGCCCTGGCCGGTGTGGCTCAGTGGCTGGAGCGCCGGCCTGTGGGTTCGATTCCGGTCGAATGGCACGTACCTGGGCTGCAGGCTCCGCCCTGGCCCTGGCCCTGATGGTGGCGCGTGCAGGAGGCAACCCATCGATGTGTTTCTCTCACATCGATGTTTCTCTCTGTCTTCCCCCCTCTCTTCCATTCTCTCTGAAAACCAATGGGAAAATATCTTCGGGGGAGGATTAAAAAAAAATGGGAGGACAGGGCAGGCTCAGAGGCACACGGCTCAACGTGGCCCCCACCTGCCCTGAGGGACAGAGCGGCTCCGGGGCCCCATCCAGAGGCCCCTGCCCTTCCCACTGTCACCCCCACCCTCCCCGGCCTTACCCCAGCTCTGCCTCCACATGAACTCCAGGCTGTGGGTGGCAGCGAAGTGCTTCTTGATGGCGTAGTGCACCCTCTGGATCAGCATGCTGGTCAGGTTGGCACGGCGCAGCAGGTAGGCCATGGTGGGGCTGTGGCCGAAGGGGTCCACGGCCCAGCCCGAGCGTGGGGTCACCCCTGGGCAGGGGGACGGAAGCCAGAGCCCTCAGCGCCCCCTGCCGGCCTCCCGGGCCTGGCCCGGCTCCCTTCCTGCCAGCACCCTGGCCCTGGGTGGGGGAATCAGCGCACAGAGCACCACCATCTGCCAACCCGGCACCTCAGAGCCCCCGGCCGCCCTCCGGGCCCAGCCTCACCGAGATTCTTCTCCAGCCACTGGTGGCCCTCAATGAGCTGGTCGATCAGGGCGAAGTAATGCGAGTTGGCCTCGTCGGGCATCACCCAGCCTCCTGTCGCGATCTCCAGCTGCCCGCTGCCCACCAGCCTGCAGGGAAGGGCTCACACTCAGCGGGGTGTGGGGTGCGGGGTGGGCATGGGCGTGGGGGGCATCTGCCCAGGCTGGGACCTGAGCGCACTGGCCTCACTGAGCCAGCTCACACGAACCTGGGACCAAGGGGACAGACGTGGCCGTCTTTCCCGCTGGCCAATGTCCCTGCTGTCCCTGTCCTGCTGACCTATGGACGCCACCTGAGCGTCCAGGGGCCTGGCTCCTGGCTTTCTCTTCCCTGTGCTCACACAACTCTGACTTCTCCTCACACAGAGACCCTACAACCCCTTCCTCCCATCTCACCTGGGCCAGCCCACCTCATCCAGGCCCCTCCCACCTCACCTCGGCCCCTCCCACCTCATTCTCAGCCCCTCCTACCTCACCTCGGCCCCTCCCATTTCATCATGGCCCACCTCATTTTAGCCCCTCCCATCTCATTCTCAGCCCCTCCCACCTCACCTAGGCCCCGCCCATCTCATCTGGGCCCTTTCACCTTCACGCCTCGCCCCCGCCATGCGTCCCCTCGCCTCTCCTGCCACGGCGGCGGGACCACAGCTTTAGGGAAACTGCCCACCCCTCCTGGGCCCAGAGGACAGGCCCCCCCTCGGCTCCCCACAGCCAGCCACTGGCCTCCGCACGGCGGCTTTCTTCTGGGCGCTGATGTTGTCCCACCACTTGGCGAAGAAGGAGACCTCGGCCCAGAGGAAGCGCCGCCGCGGGTCCTCCTGCAGCTTGGTCACCATGCTATTGAGGATGTGCTGGGTCTGCTCCGCGTAGTACTTGTCAAAAGTCTTGATCCAGCCTGGGGAGCGAGCAACAGACACGGGGCGCCCTGAGGACGCCACCCCCTCTTCCGCCGCCTCCCCGTCCCCCCGGCCCCCAGAAAGCCCGCGGAGCCCGGCCCGCGTGGCTCCGTGGTGGAGCGTCCACCTATGAACCAGGAGGTCACGGTCTGATTCCCGCTCAGGGCACAGGCCCGGGTTTTTCAGGCTCAATCCTCGGTGTGGGGGGGTGCAGGAGGCAGCTGATCCATGATTCTTGCTCACCACTCTCTCTCCCTCTCTTATATCAGTAAAAAAATATTTTTTAAAAAGCAAGTCTGCCCTGATTTGGCTCAGTGGATACGGGGTCGGCCTGAGAACTGAAGGGTCCCAGGTTCGATTCCGGTCAAGGGCATGTATGTACCTTGGTTGCGGGCACATCCCCAGTAGGGGGCGTGCAAGGAGCAGTTGATCGATGTTTCTCTCTCTCTCTCTCATCAATGTTTCTAACTCTCTATCTCTCTCTCTCTTACTCTGTAAAAAAATCAATCTATATATATATATATATATATATATATAATCAATATATATATATATAAATCAATATATATATATATATTGATTTTTATATAAATTTTTATATAAAATTTCATTTTATATATATAAAATCAATATATATATTGATTTTATATATATAAAATGAAAATAACACACACACACATATATATATATATATATATATACATATATATATATATGTGTGTGTGTTATTTTCATTTTTTTTTTAAAGCAAGCCTGTTGCCAAGACCGGTTTGGCTCAGTGAACAGAGCGTCGGCCTTCGGACTGAAGGGTCCCGGGTTCGATTGCGGTCAAGGGCGTGTACCTTGGTTGCGGGCACATCCCCGGTGGGGGGTGTGCAGGAGGCGGCTGATGGATGTTTCTGGCTCTCTGTCCCTCTCCCTCTCTGAAAAATAAGCCACCCCCCCCCCCGCCCCGCGCCACCTGGGGGCGCCCGCCCTCACCCGGGTCGTTGTGGGAGTGCGGCACCACGAACACCTGCAGGTCCTCGGCGTCCCAGTCGTGGGGGCCGTAGGAGATGTCGAAGCCCTGCTTCCACACGCCGCCGTCCACGTTGTCGAAGGGCAGCTCCTCCGCCACGGCCTGCATCTGCGGGGCAGGCGCCGGCCGGCTCAGCGGGGCCCCTCGCGCCGCGGAGGGTGTGTCCGTCTGTCCGTCCGTCCCCGCCACCCCGCCACCCCACCCCGGCTCCTCCGGCTCTCACCTGCAGCCCCGGCTTCGGGCCCCGGCCCCCCAGGGCAAACTGGCAGTCTTGCGGGGAGACGGAGAAGAAGCTGGGCCGGGGCTCGGGCGGCACCACCCAGGAGCCGTTGGCCGTGTGGTAGGGCAGCAGGCCGGGCGCGCCCTCGGCAGCGGCGGCAGCGGCGTTGGCCGTCAGCTCCAGCACCGACTCCTTGATGTGGCTGATGATCTCGTGGTTCTCCTCCAGCAGCTGCTCCAGCTGCTCGATGCGGTTCTGCAGCACAGAGATCTGGCTCTGCCGGGAGAGCAGAGCGCGGTCACGCTCCGCCTCCGGACGCCCGGCTGGGGCCCCGGCCGGGGAAGGGGCGCGGTGCAAACGCCCGGGAGGACTGCAATCCACGTGGGCGGGGAGCACCCTCGCCCCCCAGCTTTAAGAGGCCGAGGTTTCGCCTCACACGCCCATCACGTGCCCACAAGGACTGCATCGGGGCTCCGTAGGAATGCGCAGTGCCATCCGTTAGCAACAGCTGCCGAGAATCCCCAAGACCGCCCTAGCCGGTGTGGCTCAGTGGATAGAGCATCGGCTCGCGAAAGCTCCCGGGTTCAATTCTGCCCAAGGGCATATGCCTGGGAGCCGATCTGTGATTCTCTCTCATCATCGATGTTTCTCTCTCTCTCTCTCTCTCTCTCTCTCTCTTTCTTTCCCTTCCTCTCTGAAATCAATACAAATATATAAAAATAAACAAGTCTCAAGACAGCCAAAACCAATTTGGCTCAGTGGCAGAGCGTCAGCCTGAGTGAGGACTGAGGGGTCCCAGGTTCGATTCTGGTCAAGGGCATGGACCTTGGTTGCGGGCACATCTCCAGTCCAGTGCGGGGTGGGGTGGGGGTGGGGGAGTGTGGGAGGCAGCTGGTCGATGTTTCTCTCTCATCGATGTTTCTGACTCTCTATCCCTCTTTCTTCCTCTCTGTGTAAAATCAATAAAATATATTTAAAAACAAACAAACAAAAAAAAACTCCTAAGACAGAGCAGCAGTCCATCGTGCCATTGCCCCCGCCTCCTCCTAGAAAGGCTGCCCCGGGGAAGGATTGTTCTCGTCCTGCCTGGGCTGCACGTTCCCGTCTCGGATGGGCGCTGCGCCCTGAGGCCGGGCTGGCGAGGACCTCCGGCCCCGGGCGGGCGTGCTCACCCGGGGGAAGTTCCCGCCGTTCTGGTGCCGGCTGGGGTCGTGCTGCACGCGGTCCAGCATGAGGTAGAGCGAGAAGACGGCCACGCAGAAGACGGCGGCCCCGCACACGGTCACCTGCTTCTTCAGCTTCATCCTGGCCTCCGCGCGCGCACCTGCAGGCGGGAGGGGCGCCCTGTTCAGCTCCCCCAGCCGACATCCCTGTGGGGATCTGGCCACCCGATGCTCCGATGAGATCCCAAGAGCTGCTCCCAAGGGACATCTGTTTGCCCGGCTCACCCTGGGGGATCTAACTCTCTCTCTCTCTCTCTCTCTCTTTTTTTTTTTTTTTAAATATATTTTATTGATTTTGTACAGAGAGGAAGGGAGAGAGACGGAGAGTTAGAAACATCGATGAGAGAGAGTCCTCGATCAACTGCCTCTTGCACATCCCTTACTGGGGATATGCCTGCAACCAAGGTACATGCCCTTGACCGGAATTGAACCCGGGACCCTGCAGTCCCCAAGCTGATGCTCTATCCACTGAGCCAAACCGGTTTCGGCAGGATCTTACTCTCTTGGCTGAGACGCAGACTGTTACGGGCATTTCCTTAAGTTATTGTCAGGTGATTCCGAGGTGACAGGCAAAAGCTGTGACTTAGATACACATTCACCAAAAAAGGCAGATGTGTTATCAGTACTGACTCTTACCTTTTACCCAGGGGTCCAGGCAGTGGGACTTTGATATGTAAATCCAATCAAGCCCTAACCGGTGTGGCTCAGTGGATAGAGCGTCGGCCTGCGGACTCAAGGATCCCAGGTTTGATTCTGGTCAAGGGCATGTACCTTGGTTGCGGGCAAATCCCCAGTCGGGGGTGTGCAGGAGGCAGCAGATTGATGTTTCTAACTTTCTATCTCTCTCTCTTCCTCTCTGTAAACAATCAATAAAATATACGGTATATATTTTTTAAAATCCAGTCAAGCACCCAGGAATGCTGGAGCCTACTCAAGAATAGCAAATAAGCTCCTTTGATTCTAAGTTCTGGTAATAACCCCCTGGTATTTGGGAGAATATAAAATAAACTTGCTGCCGAGGCTGGTTTGGCTCAGTGGAAGAGCGTCGGTCTGGAGACTGAGAAGTCCCGGGTTCGATTCTGGTCGGGGGCATGTGTCTTGGTTGCGGGCACATCCCCGGTGGGGGGTGTGCAGGAGGCAGCTGATTGGTGTTTCTCTCTCATCGATGTTTCTAGCTTTCTCTCTCTCTCCCTTCCTCTCTGTAAAAAAAAATCAATAAAATATATATTTAAAAAATAAAAATAAAATAAACTTGCTTTGTCTGGTTCTGGGTCCCTGTCCCCTCCATCAGAGAGGACGGCATCCCACCTGGCTCCCAGCTTTTTCTATCTCCGTGTCTGGTCTCTTTTCTTTCTTTCGTTTCTTAATCCCCAGCTCCTCTACACAGGAACTGGATGCTCGCAAAAGAGAGAAACACCTTCGTTGGTCCAGCTCTCAAGAAGAGCAAGGAGCAGGGAGTCCCAGCGCTGAGCGTGCGCCCTCACCCACCCCAGCGGGATCTTACTCTTTCTGCTGAGACACAGACTTGTTAGCCGAGGCTGGTCTTGCCTCGCCTGCCTCAGGAGAGCAGCTTTCCCTTAGGGAGAAGCAGAATCTCTCTCCACCAGGGCTGAGGCAAGTATAAAAAAACAAACATGCGAGATACCAAACTTCCCAGCTCTGACTCCAGAGGTCACCGTGCAACCTCCTGATGACAAACAGCCAGCCTCCCCAGAGAGCTGATGGGGGAAGGCAGCGGGCGGGCACCCAGGCTCCGTGACCACGTGGGTCTAGTGCCAGAGGAATAAAACAGCTACTAATCTATTTGGATTTAAAAGACCCAGAGAGGCTTACAGGAAAGCCTTCTTTCTCCCTGAAATTACAGAATGGATTTCAAAACAAGCAGCTTCTGTGTCTCACACAGACCGAGTCCTCTCGCCCTTTCCCCGTTTAGTTCTGATGCCGCAGGAGGTCGCTTGCACGCTCCGCTTGGGCAGCAAGTAGAGGACCCCCTGGGAGGCCGGCAGTGATGGATGCTGAGGGGATCCCCCACCCTGGGGAGGGAGTGGACAGGCTGGATTGGATTGCAAGGTTAACTTGGGGCGACCAGCGACCGCCGGCTGCCCCCCCACCCTCCACAGGCCCCCCCACTTGCCTGCTCCGTGCAGAGAGGCCGCTGGCTGCCCGGGAGCGCTGTGGCCGGTGCCTCCTGCCCCACTTAGCAGACTGGACTCTGCTCAGAGGCCTCCGGGCAGTATTTTTAGCCTTTGGGAGGCTGGTTCCGGGCCAAAGGGGGTGGAGCTGGAGAGAGACACACGGGTGGGTTCACTCAGGAGGCAGGCACCTGCGCCGGGTCCGCCAGTCCCTGACCCGCCCCGCTCCCTCCACCCTGCCGGTCCCAGGTCCGAGACAGTTGCCCGGATGCGGGGCGCCGGCTGCCTCCGACCCCGAAGGGCCCGCAGGACCCTCCCCAGTGTCCGCCCGGCGGCATTACCGTCCGCGGCCGGCCTCGCGCCGCTCCGGGCCCCGCGGGCCTCGCGCTGCCCCCCGCATCCCCGAGGGTGGCGGCCCCGCGCCTGGCAGCGGCGCAGGGAAGGCGGCCGCCCGCCCACCCGTCACCCCGACTCCTCCGCGCGCCGCAGCCGCGCTCCCGCGGGGCCAGGGCCGCCGGCGCGCTCCCCTGCGCCCGCCCGGCCCTTCCTCCAGCGGCCGCAGGCGGAGCTGCGTGCGGGGCGGAAACAGCCGCGCGCCTCCCTTCCGCCCCGAGTCTCCCTTCCGCCCCGAGTCCGGCCACAGTGCGCAGGCGCAGTCCTGGCCCGGCCCGGGCGCGCAGGAGAGCGGAACCGTTAGGTGCAAAGAGCAGAGGGGACATCCCTCCTTGGATGCACCCGCCCGCCGGCTCCGCTCCAGAGAACCTCACGGGGATGCTACTTTTTCAGGGCCCAGGGGTGCTGCCTCCTGTGGGTGCGGAGCATCCGCCCCAGTCCTTTCCCAGCTGGCCACCTGAAGTATGGGAGCAACCATACTTGGGTACAAACTGCTGTTTGAATTTTATTTTATTTTAAAATATATTTTATTGATTTTTACAGAGAGGAAAGGAGAACAATAGAGAGCTAGAAATATCGATGAGAGAGAAACATCCACCAGCTGCCTCCTGCACCGGGGATGTGCCCGCAACCAAGGTACATGCCCCTGACCAGAATCAAACCCAGGACCCTTCAGTCCGCAGGCTGACGCTCTACCCACTGAGCCAAACCGGTTTTGGCATGCTGTTTGAATTTTAACCCTGCTATTCTGGCTGCAGCACTCTGCTAACTTGCTTCAACAATAGGGTAGTTATCTCCGCTTCCAGGTGGAGACCTGGAGGCTAAGGCAGTTTTCCTGAGCCTGTGGACCAGGACCACGGGCGATGGATTCCCACTGACTCAGAAGCTCCAGGAGTTACAGACACTGCAGATAACCTTTAGAGATTACCTTTGCTCAGTTCTGCTTCTGTACTGTCTGCTTTCGCAAGACAGGGCCACATTCCAACATCCAGCAGGATGTGGCTGGGAAGGACTCTGCGGGCTGTTCCCAGCATTTAGAATTTAGAACGAAGGAAATTTTTTGTGGTTTAGACCTTTGAAAGGGCTGCCTACACTGGAATGGTGCGGTCGTGAGTGTGGAGTCCACATTCGAGTGCTGCTCTCACGGTGGTCCTGGCCAGTTCAATAAATCCTTGCCTGCTTTTTTTTTTTTTTTTTTTTTTTTAATAATCAATTAGCAGCGTCCAGGGGTCTTATTTTGACTCCAGGGTTTGACCCCACAACACACCCAACGACTAAAACATCATAGAATTGTCTGGGTGATTCTCCTTTTACTGGGCGTCTGGGTTTTCTCATTTTGGTGTTTTTAAAATTATTATTTTAAAAATATATATTTTATTTTATTTTATTTATTTTTTACAGAGAGGAAGGGAGAGGGATAGGGAGAAACATCGATCAGCTGCATCCTGCACTCTCCCCACTGGGGATGTGCCGAAACCAAGGTACCTGCCCTTGACTGGAATCAAACCTGGGACCCTTGAGTCCGCAGGCCAACGCTCTATCCACTGAGCCAAACCGGTTTCGGCTAAAATTATTTTTTTAATTGATTTCAGAGAGGAAGGAAGAGGGAGAGAGAGTAGAAACATCAGTGATGAGAGAAAATCATGGATCGGTTGCCTCCTGCATGCCCCCTCCTCCCCCTCAGGGATCCAGCCCTGACCTGGAATCTAACCGTGACCTTCTAGTTCATAGGTTAATAATGCCCAACCACGGAGCCACACCAGCCAGGCAGTTTTGTAATTTTGAAGCAGAATAAATCATACTGCAATGAATATCTCCATTAATTCCACCCCCCTTCCCATCAGCAGTACCCCTCAGACATAACCACAATGTTGACTTCTCTATTGCTTAGTTTTTGCCTGTTCTTGAACTTCATGAAATGGGATTGTAAGGTTGCACTCCTTCATGTCTGACTTTTGTGTGCATGAGATTTCATAAGTGAGATTCAAACATGTCTGACTTCTGTACTCATCATCTTTGAGATTCATCGGTGTTGCTCTGTGTATCCGTGGTCTTTCTTATTCCTGTTGGAGTCATTGTCAGTTTATTCTGGTTCTAACTTCTCTCTCTCCTTCTGCAGCTCCAATCACTCTTATAATGAAGTCCCATCTGTGCCTTAGGCTGCTCCCTGCCCCCTTCTTGTTTCTCTTTCTCCCTCTCTTTCTAGATACCTTCAACTTAGATACCTTCTATTAATCTATCTTCAAGTTCACTAAATCTGTCTTCAGTCTCTAGAAGTGTGACTTTCTCCTTCATTTTTCATGAAACCCATCCAATGAGTTTGTAGTTTGGGGGATGGCATTTTTCAGTTCTACCTGCTCCTTTCGATTCTAAGTAAATTACAATCCTGTTAAAAGTCTCCATATTTCCATCTATTTTGTCCAACACCCCCCCCCCCAATTTAACAAATTAACCGTCGTTTTTTAAAATCTTTACCTGCCAACTCCAATATCTAGATCATCTGTGGTCTTGCTTCTGTTGTTTATGTTTTCTCTTGGGTGTTGGCCCCATTTTTATCTTTTTTGGGGGGGCGCACATTTCATAATTTTTGTTTGCATGTTGCATATTGGGTGTAAAAGAAGGGTAGGGAGCCCTAGGTGGTTTGGCTCAGTGGATAGAGCGTCGGCCTGCAGACTTAAGGGTTCCAGGTTCGATTCTGGCCAAGGGCAAATGCCCGGGTTGTGGGCTCCATCCCCAATAGGGGGAGTGCACAAGGCAGCTGAACAATGATTCATTCTTATCATTGATGTTTCTCTCTCTCTCCCTCTCCTTTCCTCTCTAAAATCAATTTAAAACATTTTTTTTAAAGGAAGAAAAAGGTTAGGGACTTCAGCTTATGTTATTCCTTTCTTCTCCCTGACCCACACCTCCCAACCCCGAGGAGCTAGCCACCTGGAGATATTTTTCTTGTTCCTGTAGTAGTCAGCAGTCAAGCACTGAGCTAAGTTGGGGCAGAGTCACAAACTCTGTGAGTCTCAGCCCTCCCTTGGATTGTCTCTGTCCCTTAGGAGTGGCCCTCTTGGACTTGGGGGTCGAAAACCTGGCCAGCTTCCGTCTCTCTCGGCTTTCAAACTCTGCTCTTCAGAGATTCTAGGGTTAGCTCTTTGGCCTCCCAATCCATAGGTTCAAGATCTGGCCAATCTCTTAAGTGGGGGGTTTATCTGTTTCAGCTTTCCCCCTCTAAATTCTGCAAGGCTGTGGGACTTGTCTTCCCAGCCCAGCCCCTTTCCAATGGCCCCAGGGCTCCAGAACCCAGGGAAAAACTGGCTTTGCAGTTTTATCCTCCTCTTGGGCCCAATCCATTAACACAGAAACGGCTCACTGCTCCTTTGCTCCTTACAGTCTCTCTGTTTGGGGCCATTCTGGTCATGGAATGTCTCAGGGATCTGAGTAACCACCCAGGCAGGGCCCTTTCCAACTTGACACTGGAGTTCATCGGGTTCTTACATCTCCTAACACTCTCCGTTCTCTTTAAGAAATGGTGGTTGTCATCTTGTCTCGTCCTCCTTGTTGCAATGAGCGCGGCGGCCAGCACGGACCTACCACATTCGACTCAGAAGCAGAAGTTCTTCAGTTCTGCTTTCTTCCACTTCCAACGAAGACGGGGTTTGACTTCTTAACACTTCCACATAGTCACACGCGAACTCGCTTCCTCTTATTGAAAGAAGTCCTAGGGCCTTTTATGTCTTTGACAAGAGATGTCAACTACTTCCTAAACCATCTTGGGGGGATGGCCATTTGGCCTCAAAGTTCTGCTTCGTTCTTTTTTTTTTTTTTTTTTTAAATATATATTTTTATTGATTTTTTTTACAGAGAGGAAGGGAGAGGGATAGAGAGTCAGAAACATCGATGCGAGGGAAACATCCATCAGCTGCCTCCTGCACACACCCCCCTACTGGGGATGTGCCCGCAACCAAGGTACATGCCCTTGACCGGAATCGAACCTGGGACCTTTCAGTCCGCAGACCGACGCTCTATCCACTGAGCCACACCGGTCAGGACTTAGTTCTTCTTTACATCTTTCCTGTTGATGCTTCTCAGTGCGTTCAGACTCCTCCTCTGCTGGGCCTTCACTGGTGCTGCTGGTTCCGTTTCAGATAATTTTGTGGATCTCAGGGGGACTCAAGGGAGGCGGGGCAGGCTCTGTACCCCACTGCTCGGTAAGCTTGTGTGTGAGCGACACTCTGAGAAGCCAATTCTTCCCCTGTAGCCACGGCGGTCTCAGAGGGAACCTCTAACTGCCCCCGACCAGCTCCTCTTCCCCCCAATCTCACGTGACGGATGCACACGTCAGCAGTGCCAGCGGCTCTCTCACACTGACAAGCGCCCGGCGTTCAGGCCTCACGCGCAGGCCTCTCTTTGCGTCTGCGTCTCCGGACTTGGACGCCACACCGACCTCCGCGCAGGCCCCTCGAACCCCGTGGGTTCTGCCCTCCAAGGGCAGCGCACATGCCAAGAGCACTAGACGGGCGCAAGTGGTTTATTATTTCTGCTTGGAAGAGGAGGGGCCCTGGCAGGAGCACGGAGGGCACAGCAGACACGGGGGCGCCCGCGTCCCCACGGCGCGGGGGACGGCTGGAGTCCAGAGCTGTGAGGAGCCCCCACGCTGGGTGAGCCGGAGCTGGGAAGGAGGCACGGCGCCCTGGGCGGAGGCCGCGGGCCGGCCTCACCGATGCCGCTTCCGGATGCTCTGCAGCTCCTGGTAGATGGTGCTGAAGCTGGGCCGCTCCCCCGGCTCGTAGGCCCAGCACTGCTCCATGAGCCGGAACACGGCGTCCGGGCACAGCTCCGGGCAGGGCAGGCGGCCCCCTGTGAGGGCGAGCACGGCACCCGGGCGTGAGGGGGGAGGGGGGCTGAGGTCCCCTCGCAGCCCCCCGGGGCAACCCGTGAGCCATGGGGACGGAGTAAACCGTGCCGCTCTTAAAGGGGCCTCTCTCTCTCATGAGGACGCAGCAGTCCCGATTGCAACCCTATTGTGTGCAAGCCGTATGACCTCTGCAAGCCTCAGTTTTTCCTTCTGTGAAAGGGGCATATTCGTGTGTGTGTGTTTGTGTGTGTGTGTGTGTGTGTGTCCCCGCCTCACCTGCCGGGCCTGCGCAGTGGCAGCTACAGGACGGA